GTTTATTTTAAAGCTTTTCTGGGAAAGATTCCACACATCCCCAGGTAGCGTGTTTAATATCTCACAATTAAGAGGGCTCAATTTATGTTGAATAGAGATTTACGCCCCAAAACCAACTTCTTCCTCAATGCCATCTTACCTTAGTTTCTTTTCTTTTCTTGTAATAATTATGCAATCAGCCTTGAGTTTTAAGATTTTTTTTTTTTTTTTTTTTTTGAGATGGAGTTTTGCTCTTGTTGCCCAGGCTGGAGTGCAATGGCATGATCTTGGCTCACTGCAACCTCCATGTCCCAGGTTCAAGCGATTCTCCTGCCTCAGCCTCCCAAGTAGCTGGGATTACCTGCCTGTGCCACCTTGCCCAGCTAACTTTTGTATTTTTAGTAGAGACAGGGTTTCACCATGTTGGCCAGGCTAGTCTCAAACTCCTGACCTCAGGTGATCCATCCGCCTCGGCCTCCCAAAGTGCTAGGATTACAGGTATCAGTCACCTGATCCGGCCAAGATTTCTTAATCAGTGGTGATAATTGTTTTTGTTTCACCGGTAACTCATTCAGGTGAAACTCATTCAGTTTTATAAGACAAACATCAAGGAATCCAATGGAAAATGAGGTGAAGGCATAAAATAGCAATTTATACAAGAGGAAACAAAAAGAGCACAGCAACACATGGAATAAATCGACTGCTTTACTAGGGATAAAAAGTACAAATAACCGTTAAATTAGTTATTTTTTCCTGTAATCTAATAGCTCCCAGTGTTTGTGAGATTACAGTAAAATGATTCCCTGCTGATGGTAGTGAAACTTTTGCAAAGTATTATAGCATGCATATCAGGAGCCATAAAAATGATCATACCCTTATACCCTATGCCTTTGTTCCTGGAAATTATCCAAAGAAATAATTGAATAGGGGGAAAAACCCTAAGACCTAGATTAATGAAAATGTTCATTGCAGTGTTATCTATAATGTTTTACAATTTTTTGAATAAAGAGAAGCAATGTAACTGTTAAACACCAGAGAACCAATTGGACAAATGTTGGTGTATGGACTCAACATACAGTACTATGTAGCCATTTTAAATGATCATTAATAGAAGTGTGTGATATTATAAAAGTTCTTATGCTATAACATGAGCTATAAGAAACTAGAATACAGAATTGCATATTACAATTGACCTGTGAAAATTAGTATGTACATGAACAAAACTGAAAGGTAGTGTACAAAATAAAAATGCTCTTCTAGTTTAGTGGGGTTGTAGGTCATTTCTTTTCCTTTCTCAGAGCTTTCTTTAAACTGGTGTTATATTGTCTTAGTTGTTTAAAAGAATAGGTTAAAACAAAACGGCACAGGCAGTCTGAGCTGGGGATTGAGAGTTAAAGGACCTGAGTTTTCTTCTTTTTTGTTTCCCAACATAATGTGTTTTGGCTGTCATTAACCTCAGTTTCTCCATCTGCACGATGGGTTAACACTAGTTTTCTTTACCCCAGATTGACAGAATATTTATTTTTATAATGCTTTTAACTCATTGAATGCAAGGATTCATATAAATTTGGTCCTGGGAGAATGAAGGGCAGGAGGGAAAGGAAAAAATAAATAGGCATAATTAATTTTAAAAGGAAAGATCATCTGCTTTAATCGGAAATGTATGTGTACTGTGCCCCTAGTCAGAGTTTTAAGTGCACTTCGTGTTAGTTAGCAACTTCAATTTAAAGTGCTGTGTGATCCTCTGGGCTTTGAAGATATGAAGCCTCTATACATACACATGAGCTAAAATTACCGCATAATCACGAGGATGTGTGCACTTTGAATAATTAAATGCACTAAGCATCTCCAGCTGATGGATTGATGATGTGGGAGAGTAGTGCAAAAACCACATGACACGGAAGATTACAAGACATTTTGAAATGATAGCTGAATTTTCAACCTTTTTTTTTTTTGTTTGCTTGTGCTTTCTCTTTTAGCCATTATGGTCAAGTAAAAGAGATCTGATTATCTTGTTTCCTGTGAAAGGTTATTTAGCCCCTCAATCCCATTAAGTCACTTTCTGCACTCCAGTGCACTGAGCCTTGGTCGGGTTATCAGCCCAGGAAGAGTAAATGGAGACACCAGGATCGGATTTCTAAAGGAAGGAGAGTTAAAGCAAAGTTTGAAAGGGGTGACAGCCAACAGCCATGAGCTTAGGAACTCAATTAGACTAAAAAGACAACTATCTCATTATCTCGTTCTGAAATGATCTAAATACATAAGAATCTAAAAGTTTTAAATAAACTTGTCCTGCTGACTGTCTAGATGACTGAATTTCCCTTCTCAAAAAATTTTTAAACACCCGCTTTCATATTTATTTATTCTAAGCGTGAAGCAGCTGCGATAATTATGCTGTCAGCCTTGGGAAGCTAATGAGGAGCCACCAGAGTGGAAGGTTTTGCATTTGTGAGATTGCTGAAGGAGAGCCGTGTACAGCTTTTTTCGTTTTTTCTTTCCCTTTCTTTCTTTCTTCCTCCTTTTTCTTTTTCTATGAGTTGGGAAGGAGAGTCTGGCAGTCCACGGCCAAATTGGAATCCTTTTGATTAACCGGTTGCCTTCCCAGCATGTTCTGCCAGATAGTGTCTCTCTCTCTCTCTCTCCCTGCTTTTGAGGAGCTGCTGCTTTTAAGGGGCAAGGAAGCCGAAGGGAAATCCCAGCTTTTCATGCCACTGTCCCCAAGGCAAGAGGATACTTCTCCCCGAGAGAAGTTCCCCAAATGGTTTGGATTTGAGTTGATTTGAGAATAATCGGTAAAGTATACGCACTGTTTATTTTAGCCGTTTAACTGTCTATACTATGACAAGATCTAAAATAAAGTAGAATACAAAATTGCATATTATAATGTCCTTGTGAAAGAGTCTTATACATATCAACAAATGGTATGATGGCTCCCCTTTCCAGCCTAGCCAATACGCGATTCCAAATACAAGGAGACTAGACCCCAGATTACCCACAGCATTTAAGGGCACGAGTTTAGGCTAGGCGAGGGAGAGCTGGCAAGTTTCTTTCTTTTTTTTTTTTTTGAGACGGAGTCTCGCTCTGTCGCCCAGGCTGGAGTGCAGTGGCCAGATCTTAGCTCACTGCAAGCTCCGCCTCCCGGGTTTACGCCATTCTCCTGCCTCAGCCTCCCGAGTAGCTGGGACTACAGGCGCCCGCCACCTCGCCCGGCTAGTTTTTTGTATTTTTTAGTAGAGACGGGGTTTCACCATGTTAGCCAGGATGGTCTCGATCTCCTGACCTCGTGATCCGCCCTTCTCGGCCTCCCAAAGTGCCGGGATTACAGGCTTGAGCCACCGCGCCCGGCCTAGCAAGTTTATTTCTTCCCTTTGGGTGTGAGCAGCTTCCAGCAAACAGTACTATTAAGGCATTTTATGCTTTTGGTGCACTAAGGACAGAAGCCTCTCTTTTTGTTAAATTGTGAGATATTTTGAGCAACCCAGGTTTATGCAAATTGTGAACCTGGGAAAAGCAATGCCCAAGTGGAAGGGGGCCCTGAGCAAATTTTGTGGATGTGCTTTGGCGACAATGTGGCTGCTGCCTCTTGCTATTTTTCTCAGATATCTGCGCTAATACTTGTAACAATGGCTACCATTTATTAAAACCATATTGTGTATCAGAAACTAACACAAGGTGTTTTGCATATATTGTCTTATTTAAGCTTACAGCAATCTGCCAGGAAGTTTTATTTTCCCCACTTTTCAGATAAGCCCCTTGCAATGTCAGCTTTTGGAGGAGTTGGCCCATAGCTTTAGTGTAGTGAGCATTCAGGAGTAGCAAGCACTTAACAAACACAGGCACTTGGGAAAATGTGAACTGCCAGTATTCTGAGCTAACCAAATACCTGATTTGGACATCAAAGGTAGTATATATATTTTCAAATGGTTGTGGTTTTTTTGTTTGTTTTTTTGTTTTTGTTTTTGTTTTCAATTTGGAAGTTGCACCTTAGAGTCTATATAGATTTCCAGCTGGGCACCGTGGCTCACGCCTATAATCTCAGCACTTTGGGAGGCTGAGGCAGGTGGATCACCTGAGGTCAGGAGTTCAAGACCAGCCTGGCCAACATGGTGAAACCCTGTCTCTATTAAAAATACAAAAATTAGCCAGATGTGGTGGTGCTTGCCTGTAATCCCAGCTACTGCAAGACTGAGGCAGGAGAATCACTTGAACCTGTGAGGTGGAGGTTGCAGTGAGCCGAGATTGCACCATTGCACTCCAGCCTGGGCAACAGAGCGAGACTCTGTCTCAAAAAAAAAAAAAAAAAATTGCCTAATGTATCTAATAAGATTGGAAACTTTCTAAAACGTATCTAGCTCAGCGTGATGCTCATTGTCTATCACTCTCTAATTAACATCACCCTCTAACGTTCGGACTCCTTGACATGACATTAGCTCCCTTCGCTATCTGGTTCCGACCATTTTTCCAACTTTATCTCCCAGTCTGTCTTGTTCTAACCATGCAAGATGACTTGCAGTTCCCTCAAACACTTTTCTTCCTTCATGTCTTTTCTCATGCTGATCCCTCAACCGGGAATATCCTCCTTGGCAGTCCTTTACTATGGAGGGCATAGTCATCCTTCAGGTCTCAAAGGGCACCTTGTCTATGCTCTCCTTGTCCATAGACTGGAGGGAGGGGTTATCATAAGCCTTTGTTTGTGCCTCACTTTTGGTCCTTGTTTGTATGTGTATGTGTGTGTTCCTCCCAGTTTTATTCCTATTTTTATCATCTTCAACACATAGCATATTGCCTTGCACAAGTGTTCACTTGGTAAATATGCATTAAATTGAATTAAATAGAAGGCACTTGCCAACTATTGGATTCAGTAAAGTGAGTCATCTATGAGTCAGTATGAATTATTAGTAAATAAGTCTGGCTCATGCTTTGACATTTCTTCAGGTGACAAATATTACAAGAGACAAAAATATACCACAAAAGATCCCAGGAAATAACATATTGGTGCTTCTCTCTTTTCATTCCTACAGAGGAGTCTTTGTTTACAGTTTCAGGAGTGAGGCTCAAGCCAGAAATGTGTGACCTTTTGGCCTCCTACCAGAAAGGTCACCACCCAGCCCAGTTTAGCAAACGCTGATGAAAAGAAAGGGCGAGATCACCAAGGTTCTTCCAGGTAAGTGATTGCAACAGTGAGGTTCCTTATGGACAAAATTGAAATGCAATTGGTGCCAAGTGGAGAGGACATTGCTCAGGGATTCAGAGCACCTCTGTGCTTCTAGTTCTTCCTCGCCAACTCTAGGACAGGTGGCCTTGCCTCTTCAGGCCTCCATTGCCTGGGCTGGGCAAAGAGAATAATTACATGCATTGCCTGTCTCTTCCACTCCTGGAGCAGGGATAAAGTTCCTAAGACAGAACTTCTAAGCTTCCTCATCAGTGTGAAATCTTCAGCTGACACAGGTGGGATGAAGGATTAGAACTGTTTTCCCTTAACTAGGGAGTTCTCACTGTCAACTGACAGGGCAAAATTTGTCCTGATAAGGGTAACCAACTGTCCAAGTTTTCCCCAAGACCAAGGGGTTTCCTGGCTGTAGGATGCTCAGTACTAGAATTGGCACAGTCCTGGGTAAACCAGGATGGTTGGTCACTTTTGTGGCACAAATTACCTTCCAGGGTAATCTTGAGTAGGAAGGGGTGCTGTGAATGATTTTCCCAAAGCCACTATACCCCTTAAATGAGTACTGCTAGCAGGCACAGGAAGCCAGGTGGGACAACTCCAAAAGTCACCATAGTATAGACAACCCTGCAGATGTCTCAAGAGCACTTCCCATACTGGGGCTTCCATGATGGTAGATGGAATCAAGATAGAGGAATCAAGGTAGAGCCCACATGCAGAGCCTGCCAGCCAGCCTGCCCGCCCGTTAGGTGACCCTGGCTATATCCCAAACCACAAGCATTATCCTATGATTTGGCCACCCATTTGACAACCACAGCTTGGCCATGCTTCCCAGGGGCCTATATGGTAACCACTGGCATCTCCCTACACACCCCCGAACACTATCACTCACATGGCTGGATTCACTCTTCATTCTTTCTTTTGATCTCTATCTTTGGCTGTCACGATTTAAAGGCATATACACATTAAAGATATCTGCTTCCTGGCTCTTCCAAGATCATTGTCTTGTCTTCAAAGAGCAGGGAAGTTTTAAAATTGTAGCTGATCCTCAGGGCATTTTATGAAATACCTAAGTTTGTATTTTGACAATACACATTTAGAATTACAATTGGTGATATAATATGGTATTTCCCAAGCAAAATATTCTCTAGAGCAGAGCTTTCACTGTATAATTATTTTAAACCTGCTAGTTACAAGGACAGAATGAACTTTAGCCACATTCTGTGAAGTGGAGGGCTTACCCTTCATAAAATTATCAAAGACACTAATGGAAATGGACTCAGATGGTGGTGCTCCATTAACATTATTATTATTTCTATTGTTGTTATTTTATTTTATTAAGCAACTGGAAGGTAGGGAGATAACCTTACCTTTCTGATCTACAGTGACCTTCCACAAAGAATTGTTACCTGTAGACATAAATTGGTTACAATAGAAAATCAATTAAATGCAGCGTGTCAAGCTTGTGGGCTGCACCAGCAATTGAAGAAGGGAGAAGGCAGATTTCGCCTCTGCTGGAGTAATCTCACGATGTCCCTAGGCCTTGGTACAAATATAAGGAGATAAAACCGAGATGAGCCACAAGAGGGAAAAGCTAGAGCAATTAAACTGTTTAATAAATGGCTTGGGATCAGCAAAATCTAGAGTGCTAGAGTTAAAGAGACTAAAAGCAGTAATCACATGGACACTTGGGGCCTGTAAATCTTTTCCAGTGAATTGAATTTATGTTAAAATATTCACTTTTCAGGAGAGTCAAAATGTAAATTGGGATATTAGGACTTCGTAACTGGCAGCAATGCCTCAAAATTAAGATTCTTGAAAGAGCTTCAAAATGTTGGTTTCAGGCAGGGAAGAAATGTATACTAATGTCTACAACAGAGAAATAGAGGGGAACTAAAATTTACTGGATAGATACTACACACCAGGCAATACAGTAAGGGCTTTACACCTACTCTTTCAAAGCTCAGCATGTTTTGAGCAGTCGGTGGTGAGTTACAATAATAGTTTATAGAATCTATCTGGAGATAGATTTTGATTATTTGTAAAGCTTTCTCAGTTCTTATAACCAGGGTTAAGATGCTGCTTCCCTTATGCTTTATCATTACCTTTTCTATTAAGATATATAATGCCATCAATAACTTTGCAATGTTTAACTATTTTCCTTCATCAATACTCTGTTGTTCATTATTCTGATTGTGTTTATTTTTCATTCACTTCCAGGGCTGTATTTCTGCAGTTTTGATTTTCATTTGCTTCAGCCTACTAAGAAGTTTCAAATATAACTCCATACTGAACAAGGGGTTTTATGCCCTCGCCTATGACCTGGAATAGTTTAAATATGATGTTCGAGGCAACAGTACATAATACTGGAGGAAAACGCAATGGAAGGTTATTGCTATTGTCATTTGCCTAGAATTTAAGTGATTGATTTTAAAAAATTAGACATAAACTAAGATAGTCTGAGAAGAGGACTTCTGAATAATTTCATTCATTTGCCATTTGATAAGAGATTCCTGGGCTAGAAGGTTGATTTCCCAAAAAGACAGATAAGAGACTGATAATGTGACAAGAATCTGGAGACAGAGCTGGTGCTTACAGAGACCTGCCACTCCTGTGTTCGCTTACAGCGTCTCCCAACAAAAGGATTTCTGTGGCAAAGAGAAAACTAGTCTAAAGTTTAGAAAAGTCTCCAGGGAAGACGGTTTCTTGGATAACATTGTCAACAACAGGACTTCCTGAGGACTATTTATTATTATTTCATAGGGGGCACTTCCTCACTCACTAAAGTGGATTATCAGAGCATACTACCACCCAACCCATATTTTAGGAGTTTGGATTTGGCTGCTGATTAGAATTGAATTTCAGGCTATCTCCTCCTACTGAATCTCAATTGTCTGTGATGATGGCAACAGTGATGGGGAATCTAAGCACTGGTTTGATGGTGGAGATATTGAATAAATAGATGGGAGCAGAGTTCCAAAGATAGAATTTAAGCCCTGTTGTACCACCACCACCACACACACACACACACACACACACACACACACACACACACACACACACCCCTCAAGTAAAATGAGAGATCTGTCTTAGCTAACATGTGTGCCGTTTTATACAATGACTCCTTCTAAAAGAAGCCAGGGAAACTCAAATCACTTCTGTCTATGGATCATCTCAGGAAATGTAGTAGCCTAGAAACCAGAGACCTCTGTATATTCTTTGGAAGAACAAGGAGGAACTAATTAAGAGAGAATTAAAAAATAGTAACGATCCCCCAACGTCTGAGATGGGAAAAGGAAAAAGACACATGGGTAGCCCAAATCAACCTGCCTGAGTAAGTATTTGATTTTAGTAAGGCATTTGACAAAGCCTGTCCAACTGTACCTGAAAGATGAAACAGTGTGGGTTGGGTGATGGAGCAGATATATGTACTCAAATCATGGTAGTTATTTAACCCAGAGAAAGGCCAGCTGTGGCGTGCTACAACGTTCTGTCTTGAGTCCTATTCTGGTCAAATATTTTTATTAATTACTTGAATAAATTAGAGTACTTGGACAACTTATTCATACAACTGCTTAGAGTAAGTACTATTATTATTAATTTATGACTTCCATTTCACAAAAGGCGAGACTGAGGCTCAGTGAAGTTAAATAACTCCTTCATAGTAGCATGCCAGACTTAAGATGCAAACCTCAGACCTGGCTCTCCAATGTTCCTGATACCTGTCAAATTTAGAGAATATATAACTCTTGCAGAGGTAGCTGCTATTTAGTATTGGATCACGATTCAAAAGACACCTTGCTAGAAGCCAATGAACAGCAGGCCAAAACAACGCTTATTTCCATCAAATTTCATCTGACTTAAATTCTTACACTTTGGGCTACAACTTAAAAAAGGCTGTGACTTAGTGGAAATTGGCACTTTTAAGTACAATATGAATTAATAGTATAATTTCACTGTCCCCCAAAGATAATGCTAGTACCAATTGAAAGCTCAGGGATGCTACCGTTGACGCATCAGCAAGAGTTCTTGAGCAGCTTCACCTGTCCATCAGTACACTGAGTTCCCACAACAGTAGTGGGATTCCTCTGCCTCCCTGAAGATATGAGAGCTGTAGGAGGGATTCCCATGTTGGAGGTTAGAACAGCTGACCTCCAGTGTCCCATCTAATTCCAAGATTCTCCAATAATGAGTTTGGAACAGCTGTGGACAGACTATACTTGGAATTATGGTTAGATACTATTGCTGCAGGAATGGATAGACAAATTTGGTTTTTTAAAAATTGATTTTATTACGTGGAAGTTGACAGAATTATCCTCTTTATAATGGAAGATACATTATGCTTATGCATATGCATATATATTATGCATATGATTATGCTTGTGCTTCCTTCTTTAATGGATTTACCTATTCAAAAGCTTAATAAAAAGTATAAGACTCTAAAACATTTAAATCTTTCATTTCTCAAATAAACATTCCTGGAATTTGTGCATATTTTTTCATCCCATGTTTTTGTTGTTTCTTCTGTATAGACAAACACCAGACTTTTAAAAACATAATTTATTTTTGTTCAGTTTGAGGCACTAGTTATTTTAGTAATGCTTACTTAGCCACTAGTGCTATTCACCTAATATTTCTGTCTTCCAGGCATCCATAATGCGGTGGCACTTCTTGGCTCTCGGATGGCTGGATATGGCCATGTGGTTAGTTCTAGCCAATGAATTGTGAGGGGAGGTGATCTGTGTCACTTCTGAGCCAAGCATTCATTTGATTGCCAGCATAAGACCCTCCAAATTTCTTTCCTTTTTTTTTTTTTGTTTTGTTTTTTGAGATGGGGTCTCACCATGTGGCCTTGGCTGGTGTGCAGCAACTATTCACAGGTTATGATCATCACACACTGCAGCCTCAAACTCCTGGGCTCAAGCAATCCTCCTACCTCAGCCTCCCAAGTAGCCAGGACTACAGGTGTGCACCACCACATCTGACTCAAATTTCTTTTTACTTTTCCCTCGGTTCCAGTGACCAGGAGTGTTTAAGATGATCCCAGAATGAGGAGATGTAGAATAGAGTTCCCGGATGACATATGATGAAGGTGTGGTGGAAGAGAGAAGTAAAACTTTATTGTTTTAAGCCACTAATATTTTGAGGTTATTTGTTACTATAGTGTAACTAGTCTATCCTGACTGCTACCAGGACACATAAAACACACACCTGCACTATCCAACGTGGGAGCTACTAGGAACATGTGACCATTTATATTTACATTTGAATTAATTATTAAATTAAATTTAAAAATCAGTTTCTCAGTCAATGTTCAATAGCTCTGAGGCTGGTGGCTGCCATATTGCATGATGCAGCTACAGAACATTTCTATTATTGCAGAAAGTTCCATTGAACGGTGCTGACATAGAGTGTCAGGATTTATGTGAAAGTTGATAGTGATGTCTTCTAACATTTCTTGATATTTTAAGTGTGCATTTAATACCACTTTGAAGTTAGTCTCGAAAGGTTTTGCCTTTTAAAAATAAAATCTCTGAGAGCCTCCAGTGGATGCTGGAAGAAAATAAATCACTCTGAAAAGTTACACTTCTTAGAACCAAATAACTCAGAAGGTCTTTTCCTGAAGGTTACATTGACAGAGAAGATGAACAGCTTTTGTTTAGTTTTGACACTTTTCATTAATAAATTCCGAGGGCAGTTTTATTTTGGTCCATCCTCCCTAATTTTCTGCATGTTTTCTACTTCTAACTCTTCTCTATCCCTAAGTGGGTTGATGTGCACCTGATATAAGATCTCATGTGCTCAGTAATGAAATCATCCAAGTTTATTATCATCCTTGTACACAATTGTTTCTATTGTAAGAACTATTAATATCATTGGATATTACAAGAAAATCTTGTAAGTAGACCAAAATGGAACTAAGATATAAAATAATCCTTCTCATTAATTATTCAACAAACATCCAGGCAATAGAAATACAAAGATTAACAGTTTCCCCAAGGATCATATAGTCTAATGGAGAGTTAGCTTTAAATAAATATAAGATCCAATGACAACATATCAATCTACCCTGTCACAGAGGAGATGATGTAGGCTTTGTCTTGAAGGGAGAGTGTGCCAGGCAGACAATTGAAGGGATAAGAAGATCCCCAATGTAAGGGTGTTATAGAAAGGACAGGAGCTGGGAGAGGTGACATGAACCTGTATTTCCAGCTACTCAGGAGACTGAGGTAGGAGGATCCCTTGAGCCTAGGAGTTTGAGGCTGCCTGGGCAATACAGCAAGACTCCATCTCTAAAAAATAATAATAATAATAAAACTAATAAAAAAGAAAGAACAGGTTGTTTGGGGTTGTAAGGAATTGAAAACCCCAATTCAGTGGCTTAACCCACAAGGGTATTATTTTACATAAGAAGCCTAGAAGTAGGTGGTTCCAAGATTGATTCATTTGATGGGTCGATGACATCACAGGGACGTAGGGTCTTTCTATCTTTCTTCAGTGCATCTTCAGTGTCCTTCATTGCCTTAGTCCTCAGGCTGGTTCCTATCATGGTCACAAGATCCTGCCACAATTCCCAGCATCACATGCAGACATGTCTACATCCAGTTGAAGAAGAGACCATCTCTTCCTGTATGCTTCACTTTAAAAGAAAGCACAGGCCAAGAGCGGTGGCTCACACCTGTAATCCCAGCACTTTGGGATGCTGAGGCGGGTGGATCACAGGGTCAGGAGTTCAAGACCAGCCTGGCCAAGATGGTGAAACCCCATCTCTACTAAAACTACAAAAATTAGCTGGCCGTGTTGGCAGGTGCCTGTAATCCCAGCTATTCAGGAGGCTGAGGCAGAAGAATTGCTTGAACCTGGGTGGCAGAGGTTGCAGTGAACCGAGATCGTGCCACTGCACTCCAGCTTGGGTGACAGAGTGAGACTATCTCAACAAAAAAAAAAAAAAAAAAGAAAGTACAGTTCTCTTTATATCTTACTGATCAGACTGTCACATACCTGCTTCTGAAATGCTAGCAAGGGGAATTCGATGGCTGCTTTAGAATGTTCAGGATTTCCTCCTGATCTGAAGCTAGGACCACCTCTCCTGAGGGGCAAATTCCTAAATAGTCATGACAACCTATCGGTCTGCCCTATCACAGAGGAGATGACTGAGGAAGAAGTGGGCACAGACTGTTGGGCAGACAACCAATAGAATCTGCCACAGCAACTAATTGACCGTGGGGCTGTGTGGTGTTGGGCGGGGGCAGTGGGAGGTGAAGAATGGGCATAAGGTTTCCAATCTGGGGGCCTGGACGGCTTGTTACAACATTCACAGTTGGGTACTTCCTTTGAGAAAGACAGTTATGAGCTCACTTCTAGACATCTTGAGTTTGAGGGACTGGTGTGCATAAGATGATTAGAACTGCCAGCCTGGGAACAGGACATGGAGATGGCTGTGACTGTGTGTCATCTACACACTGATGGTCCTTGAAGTCCCCAGGATGTGACTGCCCAAGAGAACATATCTGAAGAGAGGAAGCACAAGAATTGTACCTTGGGAAAGCTCATATTTAGAGCATGGAGATGGAAGAATCAACAAAGGAGACAAAGCATTAGTGGTTAGAAATTGGTAGAAAGGGGAGGTGTTGCAAGGAGAGGGGAGGAACTAGAACCATTCTGTGTGACAGAAATTAACAAGAACGTTCCAAGATTGAGTAACCTGCAGAGAAAACCGTCAGGAAGGTGCAAAGAAAGGCCGTGGATTTGGGAGGCTACCGGTCCTTGGTAACCTACAAGGGAGCAGCTTCTGTGGCATGGTGGTCATAGAAAAGCATGATGGATTAAAGAGACAGTGAGAGGTATGAAAGCAGAATCAGGGAATATCTTTCAGAAATTCTTGCATAAAAGGATAGGAAAGATGGAGGACTCAGTACAGCATGGAAGGACTGATAGGTTTTGTGTTTTGTTGTCATAGGAGAGGTTATACATTTTTATGAGCTGAAGAAAAAAGAAAGAAGTTGAAGAATCAGTGGATAATCCAAAAATACCAGGCATGATCCCTTCTCGAGTTCTTGCCTGGCTCGTCCCGCTGCCTAGAATTCCTCTTCCAAATATCCACACATCTTGCCTACTTCAAGCCTTTGTCTAAATGTCCCCAGTTGGTGAAGCCTACCCTGGCCACCCTATTTAATGGGCCACTAATTTGGAAGCCTCCTGCACACCAATCCCCCTTAACCTGCCCTATTTTTCTAAAGCATCTTATCACTTGTTGTTATGCTCCATAATAGATTTACCAATTTATAATATTTATTGTTTCTATCTCCCCCCAGCTGGAATGTAAGCTCCATGAGGATAGGAATCTGTTTTATTTTATTTTATGTACATTTTTTTGAGATGTAGTCTTGCTCTTCTCACCCAGGCTGGAGTGCAATGGCATGATCTCGGCTCACTGCAACCTCTGCCTTCCAGGTTCAAGCAATTCTGCCTCAGTCTCCCAAGTAGCTGGGATTACAGGCATGTGCCACCATGTCCGGCTAATTTTTGTATTTTTAGTAGAGATGGGGTTTCATCATGTTGGCCAGGCTGGTCTCAAACTGCTGACCTCAGGTGATCCACCTGCCTTCGGGTGAGCCACCACCTCCAGCCTAGGAATGTGTTTTATTCACTGGTGTATCTCAAGCACCTTGAACACTCTCTTGCACGTAGCAGAGTCTAAGTAAACGTCTTTTGAATGAATGAATGAACTCTACCATGTTTCACCTGCAACCCGGCACACTTTTTCTCCCTTGCCCTGTACTGTTTTGGCTTTTCTTCATATATGACATACCAATGTATTACATTTATTATGTTTTCTATCTACCACAGTAGCAATCAAGCCCCACAGGAACAATGATTTTGATATGTTCTGTTACTGATATACCCCAAGCACCTAGAATTGTGCATGACACATAGTCAGTGCTTAGGAAACACTTGTGGAATAAATGAATCAGTGAAGATTCAGAGATTGAAGGAAATGAGATTAACAGTCTATGTTTGTCTGGGAGAGGGTAAGAGATGCATGTCCTCTGAGACCGGAGAAGAAAAGTACACAGATGACATATCATCAAACCACTGAGCAGGCGTACAGAATCAGGAGCCAGGGGGTACACAATCAGGCATTTGTTCAAATCTGTCTCTGCCACTTACTAGCTGTGCGATTTGGGGGCAAGTTACCTCCCTTCTCTGCTTTCACTTCCTTCTTTGTAAGATAGGAATAATAGTATCTGACTCAGAGTTGGTGGTGAGGATTAAACGAATTAATACATTTAAAATATTTTAAAGAAGCTGGATACCATGGCTCATGCCTGTAATCCCAGCACTTTGGGAAGCCAAAGTGGGAGGATCACTTGAGGCCAGGAGTTTGAGACTAGCCTGAACAACATAGTGAGACCTCATCTCTATAAGAAATGAAATATTAGCT